GCAGAGTGCATTTTTAAGGGGCCTTATGGCGTGGGGCGAACCAACATTTACCTGGTTTTGCACAATGAGCATTTTTATGCCATTTTGTTTCCCTGCGCTGCATTCGATTACAACCATGAGTGCAAAAAATGTGTCAAATTTTTTAACCATAAAGAGGACCACCGCTGTGAAGGGTCGTGTTGGAGGTGTTTTGGGGAAAACGCCCACGACGACTCCGTTTTGCCACTCCAGCGTTGTAACCGATGTCGTCACTATTTCGCTGGTGATGAATGTCTAGCCAATCACCAGACATTGGAGCTCCCTGGCTCTCGCTTCACAAAATGTGACACATTTAAATTCTGTGAGGGGTGCAAAAAAAGCTACAAAGTAGGAAAAAATCCCCACCTTTGCAATTGGGTTTATTGCAAGTATTGCAAAGAAAACGTGAAGGAGGGGCACCTGTGCTACATTCAGCCGTGGGGTGAAAAAGAAAGGAAGAGGGGATGGAAATATATTTCTATCTTCTGGGACAGTGAGACCGTTCAGGAGAAGGCGGTGCCCGGGCTCACCAACACTTACGAGCACGTACCCAACCTGTTGGTTTCACAGGCGGTGTGCGACGAGTGCTCACACATAGAGCAGAACGATTATTTCTGTGCTGTGTGTAAGACTCGCCAGCAAGTGTTCCACAACTTGGACAACCCCGATCTGAGTGTCATGGGGCAATTTATTGACTACCTGAGGTCATTCCCTGCCAAACACGCACTCCTGCTGGTCGCACACAACTGCCGCTCGTTTGATGGCCCCCTCCTTCTCCAGGAACTCATAGCCAGAAAAATGGGGGTTGAACCTGTGCTCCAGGGTGGCAAAATCATAAGCATGAAGGTGGGCAACTGGAAATTCATAGACTCACTCATGTTTATGCCAATGCCACTCAGTGCAATGCCTAAATCCTTTGGGTTGACAGAACTCAAGAAAGGCTACATGCCTTTTCTGGCTAACAAGCCTGAGTTCTACAAATACGAGGGGCCCATGTTGGACAAGGCCTACTATTGTGTCTCCACAATGAAGGCGCCAGCAGCAAGGGAGTTCAATAAATGGCACGACGAGCAAGTTGAAAAGAATTACGTTTTTAATTTCAGACGTGAACTTTTCGACTACTGCATTTCGGACGTGACCATACTCCGACAGGCTTGTCCGGCGTTCAGGAAGCAGTTTCAGGAGGTGGCGGGTTTCGACCCGATGTTCAACTGCATGACGCTCAGCTCTGCCTGTATGGCTGCGTTCCGCAGGAACTTCCTGAAAAAAAGACACAATTGGTATAGTTCCAGCTGGGGGTTACCACGGTCGTGGCAAGCAATCACACATGGCACTCAAATGGTTGGACTACGAGGCCCACCGCCTGGGAAAGAAAATTAAGACCATTCATACTGACCGTGAGGTGAGAGTGTTGGGTCGCCCCGTGGACGGGTACGTCGAGCTGCCTCTTCAAGCTGGAGGGGTAGAGCGGCGTATCTATCAGTTCCACGGGTGCTACTGGCACCAGTGTCCT